TTTGGAGAAGCATTTCTGCATCCTTACACGTGCTCAAAGCACACTTTGAGTTGGCCTCATTCCTTTCTCGTTTCTAGTCCTTTTTAGTAACAGAAATTCATTTCATTTTCAATTGTGTCATTTCCAAGAAAAGACATTTAGAGTGGTATCTTTTGCCAAAATATGAGACCAAAGTCATATTAATGATATAGTTAGGGCTTTTATTCCTTTGGGTTGTTTGGGGATTTTTTTGTTTGTTTGTTTGTTTGATTTGGCTGAGTTTGGTTGTGGTTTTGGTCAGTTTTTTGTTTTGTTTTGGGGTTTTTGATTTTTGGTTTTGAGCTAGAGCCTCACTATTTAGCCCAGGCTGGTCCGAAACCCATTGTGTGCCTCAGGATAACACTGAACTCATGATCCTTCTAGCTCCACCTCTCTAGAGCCAAAATTTCAGGCATTTGTTACCATACACAATTAACTGAGTGTTTTTAGTGCAGGGGATAGAACCTGGGGCCTCACACATGTTAGAGAACTTCCCTACCTTTGACCAACCCACCTTTCAACCCCAATTAACTCATTTTCAAGATGAAAACTCATTTCTACAAGAAAAAAATGGAATTTTTTGGAGGCATGGTCTTACTACATAGCCCAAGTCAGCTCTGAACTCAGTCCTCCTGCCTCAGCATCCCCAGTGCTGGGATTAGGACTATGAGCCATCATACTCAGTACAGTGAGCATCTCTTACCAGGCAGAGTTCATATTCCTAATTGTGCCCCAGGCCTATAACTAGTAAAGCTGTGTGCAATGACACTAGGGTCCTGGGAGGTCGCCCTCATAGGAGCTTACCAAGCACTAGTCCATCTCTTGGGAACTCCCATCTGGAGTCATAGGGAAGCTGCATCGGGTCCACATAAATATATTCATGTCCATCAGGGCTGATTGACTCAATAACCCTCCAGCGAATTTCATACCGTGGTTTCTGTAAATGACCAGGACAGATAACTTGTGAATTATCAGAGTCTCCAAGCACCCAAGCTTCACTACAGAGGCAAAGTGTCTCCTCCTGGGTTCAGCCTGGTCCACCCCACCTGAAATCACTGGGCCCCTTCTCTGGATCAACCACTGAAAATGGTAGCTATTCTTGTTCTGATGATTCTAAAGACTTGTAGTAGAATGAGAAAGTACCTACCTGCTTCCAAATGACAACCAGGACAATGAGTGAGATTATCACAATCACCAACAGCACCAAGACTGCAGCTGCTACTGTAAGCTCAGAACGCAGGGCTGGGGGACAAGAGAGAAGGAGGTGGTTGAGTCTGACTTGGAAACTCTCTCAATGCTGGTGAGGCTGCCTGGCTCACTTTAGGGGTGAGCAATACCATCTTTCAAGCACTTGAACTCCTTAAATTAGATTCAGTTCTCCCCTGGGAAGAGGTCAGGAACTCAGCACTTTCTCCAAAGATGCTCTAAGAATAAGCTTTTGGACAATTTGGGTAGGTGCGATGAACCTGACAAATAAATTGTGAGCTACTATGTGCAGAAATCTTTACTTCAGAAGCTTTATGGTAAAATTTATCTTGAAATATTTCAGGTCTTTTCTTTTGAAGATGTCAATCTGACTCAATTGTTAGAAGGATCAACAAGACAAAAAAATTCTCTTTTCACTTATTTATATAGTTATTTTTATGCGTGTTTCACTTGTATATATGTAAGTGCACCATGTGCATGCAATTCCCAGAGAGGCCAGAAGAGGGCATATGATCCCCCAGAATTGGAGTTTTGGATGGTTGTTCACTACCATGTGGGTGCTGGAAACCTAACCCAAGTCCTCTGCAAGAGCAGCCAATTCTCTTAACAACGGAGCCATCTCTCAAGCCCCAAGACAGAATATTCTTCTTCCTCATCTCCCATTCCCACACACAGATGCTCAAGCTAAGTATCTACACTATAAGACAATCAAAAATGTTCAGGGCCTCTACAAAATGGAGCTCAGGGTATGAATGCAAAGGAAAGGGCTAGACAAGCACTTGACCTCAAGACCAGGTGCTTCAGGTACTGTTGTATCTGAATTTCTGCCTTGGGACCTTTGTTCCTATACGACCCCTATCTGGGGTTCCACAGCCCACCTGAGAAAGACAGGGCTTTGCTGGTGACCTGGAGTTATCCTGTCTATTGAGCAACTCACTGGGAGCCACCAGCTTCAGTTCTCGGTTCCCATTCCCAAGGTGATTCTTTGCCACGCATCGAACTGCAATGGTCTCCTCGACTTTGGCGAATGTCACTCGGCCCTCCACAGTACTCCTGCCTCGGCGGTGGAGCTCAGTGGGGATATTTGAGATATTGTTGGCCAAAGTTGTCCATGAAGTGTCATTATTACATCTAGAAAGTAAATGATACAAACCAAGATCTAGTTACCAGAAGTCAGGGAAATGAGTGACCGTGTCTACATTTCTGACCTGGTGCACATTGGGGGTTGGGACAGGTTGGTTTTCTCATTTTATTGAACCTATTAACATTAAAATCCATTTACACATGCTCAAGAAGAATCACCCCACATGAATAACTGAAACTTGACTGCTTGGGAAGAACATGGAAAAACAATTAAAATAGAACTGCCAGTCCCAAATTTTGAATGATGAGCAAACTACGATCAATATCAAGCACGTTTAACCAACCTAATTTCCCACTCCTTCAAAAAGACCCTTGTCATCACCAACCCCAGGACACAGCAGTTGTCATGGGGAGAATTTGGAACATACAGTTCACATGCACATTTAAGAAGGTAGAGGAGACACTGGAAAGAAGGATCAATGGGAAAAGATACTTTCCACCAAGACTATCTGAAATCAACCCCCAGAACCGACTCCCACAATTTCATAAGATCTCCTCAGACCTCCACTTGCAAGCTATGACATGTACACATGTACATACATTTTTAAAATTTTTTAAAATATATTTTATTTGGGGGGTCCTCTAATTTTATTATATACAAATTTGGAAACAATGCCCCTTAATATATTTTATTATGTTTATTTTATATGTATGAGTGCATTGCCTACATGTATGTAAGTGCACCCATGTTGTGCAATGTCCATGGAAGTCAGAAGGACATCAGATTCCCTGAAACTGGAGTTACAGACAGTTGTTAGCTGCCATGTGGGTGCAGGGAACTGAACCTGGATCCTCTGCAGGAGCAGCCAGCGCTCTTGACTGCTGAGCCGTCTCTCCAGGCTCCATTCTACATTCCATTCTGTTCCTGTCCCCAGCAGTCCTTGATAACTGATTCTTTTTCTGGAGTAAGGAAATATCAACAACTTCTGAGGAGTCAGACCTGGGCGCTGAGATCTGCAGGGGGAACTTCTGTCTCCTTCCGGTTCTTTTCCAGTTTGCTCACTCACCAGGTCAGGTAAACTGGATGCCACCAGGGTCCGGTCTGTCCCCTTCCGGTATGTGAGGCTGTTTGCAGTAGAAACCCTTAGAAAAATAAAGGAGGGACAGGGAAAAAATAGGGGCCCTTTGAGGATCTAATGAAAGAAATGGGCCTTGTCTCCATAGTTCTTCATGAACACACACACACACACACACACACACACACACACACACAAAAGCTGGAATCCACCTTAAGAATGCGATTGTATAATTTATGAATCACGTGAACGTTACGTCAAGTAAGAATCACAAACACAAAAGGGGGCCAGCCAAAGAAATAAAATGCACATGTGGTCCTTTGTGTCAAGAAAGAAACATTCTGAACACACAAGAGTGAGGAACATCTGGTTTCCATACTTCTTAATATCCTTGCAGATCATCCACTCGATGTCCGGAAGAGGTGTGCCTGCAGCTGTGCACCTCACAGTCTGTCCCCCACCAGAGCCGTGATGGTCGTCAACCAGCTCCAGAATGGATGCGGGAACTGCAAGAGGACAAAAGAAGTCAGAGCTGCACCGTTCTTGTCCCTGACCTCAGAAGGTCTTCAAAGTTCAGAAAAAAGTCTATGCATGAGAGGGAGCCAAACCCAGCTGTGTGAAAAAACACTCCTGTTCAATCGGACCCACTTGGTTAAGAGCTTTTCGGTTTCAGTGTTTGGGGGATTTGTGCCTGGGATGATTTCAGTCTGGACTGAAGAAAGTGAAAAGTGCCTGTAGAAATTCGGTTTGGAAGGCAGAGATGTTCCCCTAATTATCATAGCACTTGGGATTCAACTAATGGATTTAACAAAGGCATAATGTAAAGCAGCATTTGTACAAATACATTTGAGAGGCATTACTAAATTTTAAAGACTCTCTTTTCTTTTAGGGGCTGGAGAGATAGCTCAGTGGTTAAGAGCATTAGCTGCTCTTGCAGAGGAACCAGTTTCAAATCCCAGCACCAACATGGCCCCTAACAACTGTCGATAACTCCAGTTCCAGGGGATTTGATGCTCTCCTCTGACCTCATTGCACGACATAGGATGCAAGTACATACATGCAAGCAATACTCTCATACACATAAAATAAAAATAATAAAGTATTTCAAAAAGACTCTCTTTTCAATCTGGAGTCAAAGTTAAAGATAGGCTGGTTTTTAAATTTTCTATTACATTTATGTATTTGTGTGTGTGTATATGATGTACATAAGTGGGTCTTCAAGCTGCCTTGGGCATGTGGAAGTCAGGGAATAACTTGCAAGAGGTGGTTGTCTCCTTCCACCACATGGGTTCCAGGGATTGAACTCAGGTCATCAGGCTTGGTGGCAAGCGCCTTTACTAACTATGCCATCACCCTGGCCCAGAGATAGACTGATTATTGAATCAACAGATTTAGTGTGAGAATCAATACAGTGTCCCCCTCCACCACCCCTAAGATAGTACCTGAAACCTGGAGAGACTCTGAAAATAAGCATAAACCCGGAAGTCTGCAGACTCAGACACACATCCTGGTAGGGACCACAACACAAACCACCAGGAGTGCTAAGCCAAACTCTCCAGAACATCAAAGGTCATCCCTGTGCTCTTCCCAGAAATAGAGATACCACAGTGAGAAGTAGGTGCTTAACAAGCTGTCAGGACCTAACAGCTCCTAGTCAGTGTTCCAGAGTCATCCAGAACCTCTTGTCCAAAATGCTTGGGGTAAGAAGTGTTTCAAGCTAGGATGTAGCTCAGGGGTAAAAGCACTTGCCTAACATATATAAGGCTCTAAATCCAACCTCCTCAGTACCAAAAAAAAATTTTATATTTTAAAAAATATATTTGCTTTCCCTAAACTATCATTCAGATGGTGCAATCAATAATGGAACATTATTGAGGGAGATCAAGGACATTCTCCCTGTGCTGATAGGGAGAGGAGTAGAGGACTCAAATTCCCATGTGCTTGTATGTGTTTGAAGAAACTCTAAGAGGTTTTCCAACAGCCTAATGAAGTTAATGAAGGGGCTTCCCCATGGAGAGGGGGAAACCAACAAAGATGGGGGACAGGAGTAGAAGAAAGCTTCTTACATTACACCCTCTTTGTGTTTGATTTGTTGGTTTGTTTGGTTTTTGTTTTTAATGTGTTTGAGTGTATTGCCTGAATGTAGGTAGGTACACCCATGTTGTGCAATGCCTTCGAAGGTCAGAAGACGACATCGGATTCCCCTGGAACTGGAGTTACGTACAGTTGTTAACTGTCATGTGTGTTCTGGGAATCAAACTCAGGTCCTTTGCAAGAGCAGCCAGTGCTCTTATAACGACTGAGCCATCTCAGTGAGCCATCTCTCCAGCCCCTTGATTTGTTTTAAATCATGGGATTCTATGACCAACTCAAAAAAATTAAATTAGAAAGGATACACTTCTACATACTATAATAAAGAAAATTTATTTAAAAGAAGTGTTCTGCAGTAATGTTTTCCATTTCAGATCTTTTTAGATGTTGGAATACTACTGCATATCCTAATGAGATATCTTAGGGGAAGGACTCAGTCTAAGTGTGAAATTCATTTATGTTTCACACCTCACACACATAGTCTGGGGGTAATTTTATACAATATTTTCGTGTGCCTGCATCTTTCCTGACCCATCACAAGATGTCAAGGCTTGGTGGTGCACGCCTTTAATCCCAGCACTCAGAAGGCAGAGGCAGATGGAGCTCTATGAGATTTAGGTCAGCCTGGTCTACATTGCAAGTTCCAGGCTAACTAGGGCTACAATGGAGACCCTGTCTCAAAAAGACCAAAAAACAATAAATAAATAAATAAATAAATAAATAAATAAATAAATAAATAAATAAATAAAAATTTCAACTTTTGGTATCATCTGAGCGTTCAAAAAGTTTCAGATTTGGGGGCCAGAAGATGGCTCAGCAGGTAAAAAGTTCACCTGAGTTCAATCTCCACAATTCATGCCAAGGTAGAAAAGAGAGACCAACTCCACAAAGTTGTCCTCTGACCTCTACACATGCACGATCTGCACACATACATCATACACACCCAAGAAGAAGAAGAAGAAAAATTAATATTTTTTGTTTCACATTTTAAGCCAGGCATGCTACATGACACAAGCCTGGAATTCTAGCACTTGGGAGACGGAGGTATACCACTAATTCAAGCCCAGCCTGGGCTACATACCCAGACCCCATCTTAAAAAAAAAAAAAAAAAAAAAAACTGTTTCAGATTTTAGAGCATTCCAGATTTTTGGATTAGGAATGCAAATGCAACAGTGCTATCCCTGACACACATCAGGTCCAGTCCCTGCTTCTGCACTAAATTGTAACTTTTCCTCCAAGGCCAAGATGTCTTCAGGGCACATTTGCTCACTGAGCAAGCCTGACCTTTACGTGCCTTCACATACCTAGAGTTGACAGCTCAAAAGTGTAGCTCTTCACATCATCTTCATTTTGAACTACGATGGTATAATGGCCACTGTCTTCCTCCTTAGCCCGAATCAGCTTTAATTTGCTTTGATACCTTAAAAGACAAGAACATAATTTCAACAAGCGGGAGCTAAATAAGCACCAAGTGTTTAAGCAACTTCAGCCTTGAATGTAAATCTTATTTCTGCTTTAAAATTTTCTTTTTCTTGGGGCTGGAGATGGCTCAGCAGTTAAGAATGCTGGCTGCTCTTGCAGAGGACCCAAGTTCAATTCCCAGCATCCATATGGTGACTAATAATCATCCATAACTCCAGTTCCTAGAGAATCTAACACCTTCTTCTGACCTCCAGGGGCACTGCATGACTTGGGTCATGCACTAAATTTTTTTTTAAATGTATTTTCTTATGAATATCAATGTCTTTTCTAAGATTCTCAATTTAATTTCCACACATTGAAGGTCTGATTCATAGACACAAAAGAAAACCAGGTATTTTGAGATAAGCCATCTCAAAGAGTTAACAGTTCTGGTAAGATCTCATTTCTGAATGAAAATAAAATAAACATAGCCTTTTTAAAAAGAAAACCTTGAGTTATACTAAGAAGAGAAGAGGAAGAGGAGGAGGAGGAGGAGGAAGAAGAAGAGGAAGAGGAAAGAAATTGGGGCCAGGTAGATGGTTCCTGGGTAAAAGCTCTTGCCATGCTGTGCTAGCCTGATGACCTGGGCTGGATCCCCAGGAACCCGTGTAATCCCAGCACTCCTGCTGCAAGACTGGAGAATTGCCCCAAAGCTTGTGGGCCAGCTGGTCTGGAACAGCTAGCATGGTGACAGAAACAAGAGAGACCCTGCCTCAGCGAAGTGGAAGGTGAGAATTGACTCCTGAAAATTGACTCCTCTGTCCATGTACGCCATGAAACATGTAGACACAATACAATGAATTCATTTTTAGTTGCCAAAAAACACCTTTCTTCCTCTAAGTATCCATCATTTAGATAGTGCGGCCAAGGACAGAACACTGAAGAGAGAATAAGGGTGCTCTATCCCAACAGGGAGAGAATCCAAGCTCCAAGTGACCACTCAGCTATATTTGCTTAATGAAACTCTAGAAGATTTCATAAGAACCTAATGAAATTAATAGAGCTGTTTATGGAAGTGAGGTGATACCAAAGATGGGGCCAGCAGAATAAAGCTTCTAATTTTCGTGTACAATTTTATTTACTTTATTTTTTTCATTTTTTTTGAAGTGTATGAGTGTTTTGCCTGCCTGTATGTAAATGCACTGGGGTCCTGCAATACAATTTTTTTTGCTTTTTTATTATTTTTATTTTTATGTGATTGAGTGTACTTCCTGCATGTAAGTGCACTTGTGTAGTGTAATGCATGTGGAGGTCAGAAGAGAGCGTGGGGGAGGGAGGGGGGCTGGAGTTACAGATAGTTAACTAGAGTTACAGCCAGTTGTTAGCCACCATTTGAGTGCTAGAAACTGAACCCAGGTCCTCTGCAAAAGCAGCCAGTGCTCTTTTTTTATTATTATTATTTTATATGTATGAGTGTATTGCCTGCATATATGTAAGTGCACCATGTCAAGCAATGCCCAAGGAGGTCAGAAGAAAGTGTCAGATTCCCCTGGAACTGGAGTTACAGACGGTTGTTAGCTGCCATGTGGGTGCTGGGAATCAAACCAAGATACTTTGCAAGAACAGTCAGTGCTCTTAACCGCTGAGCCATTTCTCCAGCTCCCTAATTTAATTTTAAAGCATGGGATCCCATCAACAACTCAAAAAAGCAGTAAGAAAAAAATAGATTTCTTCATACTTATTTTTTTTTTTTTGAGACATGGTCTCCCTGTAGCCCTGGCTGGCCTGTAACTTGCTATATAGATCAGGTTGGCCTAAAACTCACAGAGATCTACCTGCCTCTTCCCTGTAAAGTGCTGAGATTAAAGGCATGTACCACCATGCCTGGCTAGATTTCTTCATACTTTAATAAGGGAAATTTCCCCCAAAAGAGTTCTTATGTGCAGAATGCATAATACTTGATAGTGTGTGTATGTAGGAGTATAATATTTCCCCATCTTGCTGTCATTATAAAACAACACAATATGGAAAAGCAGCTAAAATGGGAAGAACTCTGGTCATGGAACAACAAGATCTTGGGAATTAATGAAGTCTCCATGCCTCCATTTCCTTGTGTATAAAATGTGGTAATTGTGCATGTAGAGTCATTCTGAGGATTCATTAAAGAAGATTATATATAGGAAAGCATTTCATAGGCTCAAAACCACTCTGTGAGTGCTTGGACCTATAGAAGAGCAGGCTGGGCTGATCTTCCCTCTCTCCACCACTATTGGATTGGCCTCAGGACTAGATTCCTTAGAGTCTGCCTAGGCACATCCAGCTGCTGACGGCCAAATGATTCTGTGTCATTCATAGTCAAGGGATCCGGTAGGGCCACTGGTTTTAAACTCCATGAAGTCAGATAATCTATTCATCACGCTTGTCCCTGTGTTGTCTGATCCATCCAGGAATTTAAAAAGTAAGTGCTGAAGGGTTCTTGAATCACTGAAACAGGCACCTTTCTAATGCCGTTCAATTGGCAAGCCTGCCTTGTCACTGCTATTGATTACAGCCTGCAGATCATGCTCAGACACATGTAAAATGTTAGCTGTGCCAGGGTGACCCTGTGCCTCCTAGCACTTGAAAGCTGAGGCATGAGGATCACTGTGAACTTGAGGACAGCCCTAAGTACATATCAAGATCCTGTCCCAGGAAGAAAAAATGATAAGAAGAAGAAGAAGCATAATAATAACTACTTTAAACTGGGCGCAGTTTCTCACACATGTACTTGGACCAGCACTTGGACACTAGAGTCAATCGGATTGATGAGAGTTTGAAGCCAGCCTGGGCTACAGAATAAGATCCAGTCTCAAAAAAAAAATTTGTACCTTCTGACTCCTGGATTCTAATCATAGCTTAAAATGTCAAGAGGAATTGAGCTAGCATGGGAGAGACCCTAGGTTGATCGGAAGCACAGGCAGGGGAAAGCAGGGAGACCTGCAAGAGACCTCAAGGTATCCTGTCACCTGATTCAATTCCTTGCCCACTTACTTTGTGGTAAGAAAGCTGAGACCATGGGTAACTTGCCCCAAACTCCAGCACTCGTTAAGAGATAAATACAACCTACCACTGTCATCCAAATGATTCACTGACCCAAATTTAACCAGGCTCCACTCTTATTTCCTGTGGAATTCGCTGAGTTAGGGTAGAGGTAATGTCATATTAAGCCAACAACATTTTGTTTCATGTAGTTTTACCTGTGAATTGCCTCATAAGTGGAATCACTCTACCTGTCTATGGAAATTTGATAACCATCAAAAAATACATTGAGTTCAAGTGAGTCCAATTCCCCCCTCTTTCCTCCATCTTTAGCTATACCTAATAACCCATCTCTCATTGGGGGACAGAACTTTTTAGTCCTTTCTTCTCATTTTGCCTTATACACTTACCAACATATTATTACCATGTTGCAATGCTATCATTAAAGGGACATGATTTTAACTCAGACGCTGCATCTGGAAGGCTGACTTGTTTTGGGTGGGTAGTACATAACACCAGCCTTTGTCTATCTAAGCAGATGCATGGTGGTAAGAAGGTGTTTGGGTCCTTTACCTTGTTTCCTGAATCTTTTTCACATCAGTGGTGATCTCAGTGAGATTCTCAATCAGAGTCAAGTTGTCCTTCAGCCATGATATCCTGGGAGTAGGGTAGGCTTGTACCTCCACCACGAACTCCCTGACTTGATGCAGGTTGACGGCTTCCAGCTGGCCAAAGGTGGGCTTGATCTCAACAAAACCTTTCTCTGCAAGCAAGAGTTTACATTAAATAGTGATTACTGCATACAGATCCCAGCAGCGTGAATGACTGACATTCTAGAAAGCAGTATGTACCATGGACAGAAATGGTGACTGTCTTCATTTCTTTGACCTCCTTAGTAGCCTGGCGGGCAGCACACTCATAATCTCCACTGTCTTTCACCGTGGCCTTGGGGACTGTCAAAGTGTACACCAATTTGATGGATGGGACCTTAATTTCTTCCAGCATGGTGATGCCTTTGTTTTTCTACAATAGCAGAGAAGAAAACTGACTTTTAAAAAGCTGCATCCACAGAGTGGGCCCTAATGCAATAGAGGTCAACGCAGACTCATCAGTTCTGTGAGGTGTGCACTCAGTGGGGGACTTGGCAATAGGGAAGACTGAGCATACGTAGGAGCAGGGGTTACACAGGAAATTGTTATAGTTATACTTTGCAATTTTGCTGTGAGCCTAAAGGTGATCTGAAATATAAAATCTAAAGAATAAAAATAAAAAGGAGAGCCTGGAGGGGGAAAGCTAACACAGTCCCTACCCTCTGAAGATTTGTAGGCAGTTACCGGTTGCTAGGAGGAGACACTTTCAGTGGTGTAGCCACTAGTACATTGCCAATGTTCCTATGAATAACCCCTTGCCCAGGCCTCTGGAAGCAACTGTAATTAGGCTAATTGAGTCACACATAGAAAAAAAAAAAGACATGAAAATAGAAGAATACGTTGTAAGAGGAAGGGATTCAGAGAGAATAGAAGGGGGAAATGAGAGGATAGTACAGGTGAATATGGTCAAAGTGCATTACATACACGTATGAAACTCATGTTATGTATAATTAATATGTTAATTGAAAAAGAACATGTAAATTTAGTCTTAAAAAAAACTCTAGATCCATGGGGCTGGAGAGATGGCTCAGCAGTTAAGAGCACTGACTGCTCTTGCAGAGGATCCAGGTTCAATTCCCAGCACCCAGATGGCTGCAATGAACCATCCTTAACTCTAGTTCCAGGGGAATTCGAAGCCCTTTTCTGACCTCCACGGCATTGCACGACACGGGTGCACTCACATACATGCAAGCAATACACTCATACACATAAAATAAAAATAATAAATAAAATATTAAAACAAAAAACTCTAGATCCTTAGGAAAGTTATGCTTTAAAGGGATATTGGAGGGAGATGTGGTGGCTCAAAGAGCTAATCCTAGCACTTGGGAGGTGGCAATAGTCGATTACTGGAAGGTTGAGGCCAGCTTCAGTAACACAGTGAGCTCCAGGCCAGGCTGGAGAAATGGCTCAGGGGCTAAGAGCACTGACTGTTCTTGCAGAGGACCAGGGTTCGATTCCCAGTACCCACATGTCGGCTACAAAACATCCTTAACTCCAGTTCCAGGGGAATCCGAAGCCCTCTTCTTACCTCTGCAGCATTGCGCGACACGGGTGCACTCACATACATGCAGGCAATACGCTCATACACATAAAATAAAAATGACTAAAAAAATAAATTTTTTTTTAAATGGGCAGGGTGTGTTGGTGCATGCTTTTAATCCCAGCACTTGAGAGGCAGAGACAAGCAGATCTCTCTGAGTTCAAGGCCAGCCTGGTCTACATAATGAGTTCCAAGCCAGCTGGGGCTAAAAGGAGACCCTGTCTCAAAAAGACCAAAAATAAATAAATAAATAAATAAATAAACATTTTAAATGGGTTGCAGCTATAACTTAGTGGTAAAGTGTTTGCTTAGCATCTGTGAGGCCCTGGGTTCAATTACAAACATTACAAAACATTTTTTAATAAAAATAAATGAAGCAATACTCAATGACTTATGTAAAATGTCATTACATAATATATTATCCACTGAAGGAAAAATAACAGATAAAATAGAGTGCTATTGAGGTAGACTTTGGTGGTATATACCACCAAATAATCCCAGTATTCAGGAGGCAGAGGCAGGTGGATCTCTATGAGTTCAAGACCAGCCTGGTATACATAGTGATTCTAAGCCAGGCAGGACTACATAGTGAGACCCTGTTGCAAAAAAAAAGGGGGGGGGCTATTGAAAGAATAATATTAATTATCAAACATTTATCTATGTATACACATTTATTAAGGATTGATTTATCTTCTTGAAATCTGAAAAGTATGCTGTTCTAAGAAGCAGATTTCCCTTTCCCTTTGTTCCCCTATATTTTACAAAGTTTCAAAAAGAAGCTTTCAGTACGTTTATGAAAAAAAATGTTAGAGCTAGAGAGAAATGGCTCAGCAGTTAAGAGCACTTGCTGCTATTGCAGAGGACCCAGGTTCAGTTCTCAGCACCCACATGACAGCTAACCACCATCTGTAACTCCAGTTCCAGGGCATCTGAAGCCCTCTTCTGACCTATGCAGGCATTGTAGGACATGGGTGTACTTACACACAATGCAGGCAATACACTCATACACATAAAATTAAAATAATACATAAATTGTTTTGGTAGGTGTAGTGGCACACATCTTTAATCCCAGCACTTGGAAGGCAGAAGGAGGCAGATCTCTGTGAATTCAAGGCCAGCCTGATATACATAGAGAGTTCCAGGCCTCAGAGGCTACAGGGAAACCCTGTCTCTAGACAAACTGACTGAACTCCAGTAGGTGAATTCCCACTGAAGGACATCTGCGTACAAATGCTTGACTGGGTAGGATTTAACATATATGGCAGAATACATGAGGTCCAGTGGGGAGTTAGGGGGACATGGATAGGGGAGGGGGTTCTAAATTTGATTAAGAACTGTTATATGAAATGTACAAAAGCTCAATAAAAAATTAAAAATAATAATAATAATAAAATAAGGAAAAGAATGTTTAAGAACTTTTGATTATATATTTGTGAACCAAATAGCACGTGTTTCTGGTTAAGAAAAAAAATTATCTTTCATAAATGAAAAAATGTCTTCTTTTAAGGATTAAAGGCAATCTAGCATGAATAAAAATATTGAATCAGGGGCTGAAGAGATGGCTCAGCGGTTAAGAGCACTGACTGCCCTTGCAGAGGACCCGGATTTGATTTCCAGCACTCACATGGTGGCTACGAACCATCCTTAACTCCAGTTCCAGGGGAATCCGAAGCCCTCTTCTAACCTCTGTGGCACTGCATGGCACAGGTGCACTCACATACATGCAGGCAGTACACTCATACACATAAAATATTTTTAAAAACTGAATCATTTCATATTTCAAGGAAGATGTAAATATACTAAGCCATTAATTTCTCTCAAGGTGTAATGTAAGAATGCCCATCTTGGGCTGGTGAGATGGCTCAGTGGGTAAAGTCACTTCCCATGCCAGCTTAGTGCCTGAAGTTTCATCCCCAGAAACCACGTAAAGGTGGAAGGACAGAACTAACTCCACAAAAGGTATCCTCTGACCTCCACCTGCACGCTATGATACGGATGTTTGCAAGCACATTTGAGTACACACACATGCACATGTGCACACACAAATAAAAATTTAAAAGAATATCCAACTTTCAATCAGGAGGAAAGAAAAGTCAACAAAAGCTTGGGAGAGAGAAATGGATAGCAGGAAAGAAAGTTGTTCAATAACAAAAAGAACAGCGTACAGAGTAAAAGAAAAAAAATGTGTATACATATGGTTTTGTTCCCCTGTAGCCCCAGCTGATGTGGAGCTTGCTCTGTAGACCAGGCTGGCCTTGAATTCACAGAGATCCACCTGTCTCTGCCTCCTGAGGGCTGGTATTAAAGGCATGCATCACCACACTGGGCTCACATCGACAGTATTAAGCACCATTAATAGAGTGCTAGCAGCATGAGGTCCAAACCCACAGTATTAATCATCATGAATCGTTTCTATATTAGACTTCCATATTCATTATATATAGTTCTCTTATATACATAACCACTGTATAGAAATGAATGTTATTAGAATTAATGACACTTTATACAAAGTTCCAGTGAGATGGAAGAAATAAGTTCCAGTGTTCTGTAGTTCAGGAGAGTGAGTATGGGCCATAACATATTAGATGCCTGTCAGCGTTATCAGATGCCTCAAAACCAAAGGTCCATATGGGAGCCAAGACAATGAGGATGTATGACCATTTCTGCAATCAGTCAATATTTAAAATGCAGGCATTTCTTGCTTTTCTAATGTTTTAGCTGTTATGGTATAGCCACAGAACCTCCTTATTTCTTCTTGATTTTGAAGGGGAGTTTTTATGCATTCCATCTGTGATCATCTCAAAGCCCCCGCTGACCAAGGAAATTTTAATGTCCTGGAGTCAAATGTGTTCATTGTTGAGCTGGGAAGCTGAGGTCTACAGAAGCTCAGGAATGTGCCCATCCATGAGAAACACCACTGACATGCAGGTGATTTAAGGCCTGTTTGGTCTGCTCTGTGTACTCTGCGTCTGGGTGTACCTACCACTTCTCCAGGGTAAGTCCACTGAAGATCAACCACCTCATTGTTAAAGACAGCACAGGTCACCATGATCGTTTCTCCTGATTTATATACAGTTTGATGAGCTTCCATCTCTAGATTCAGCTCCGATGTTGCTATAAACAACCAAGGAAACATGGTATAGTTAGGATCTTGAAAGGTTTGAGCTCATTTGTTTTAAACAAACCTGATCCAGATTCAGTTAAAAAGAAGAAGAAGAAGAAGAAGAAGAAGAAGAAGAAGAAGAAGAAGAAGAAGAAGAAGAAGAGGAAGAAGGAGAAGAAGAAGAAGAAAAGAAAATCATTTGCAAGACAGTTTGATCAAAACAAGAGTTGGAAAATCTAAGAAGTCTTTACTTTGAGCATTATACAACTTGGGATGTAGTTACAATACAGAAATACAAAGTAGTAACAACAGTAAAAAATAAATCCTGATTAAACAGAACACTGGATGCCTGGGCATTTGAGTTAGTTATGACTGTACTCATTCAGGATCATCTTCAATGCTGTCTTCACTCCTTACATAAACCAATCTTCTGAACTAGCTCTGCTTTAAGACTCTCTGCTGTTGGTCTGTCACTTCTCTACTCCTCAGTTATTCTTAGAAGCTTGCCAGAGAACAGCACGAAAAAATGAGGTGGGAGGCATATTCTTGATTCTACTCCATCTCCATGTAATAAGTGCACCCTGAACACCTACAGCCTCAACCCCCAACATATGACACACTTTCCCATTCAGGCTAACCCTTCACATCAAAGGGGAAAAGGTTAGCCTCTTTAACTGCAGTCTTCCTTCAAAATTGAAATCACTTCATTCTTAAGTTACTGAAATTAATTTAGGCATGCAACCCCCAGGGGTGCATGTTTGTTTTGTAGGATCTGTGTATTCAAGAATGTGAATCAAGTAAGAGGCTTATTCAAGAAAGAATTCCTTACAGTATTTTTCAAGGAACATGAAATCTTACACGAATAAGCAAGTTCAGCCTGTAGCGATTGTTAAGCTTGTATAATTATAGCCACAGAGGTCAGCTATGTTGCATAGTAAAGGTGGAGTTTTAAATTCCTAAACCAGAATCTAGCTCTTCATCACCAGTGAGTATGATCAAGTGAAAAAGCCCACTTTTCCTGTTGTTCCCATTAAAAGAGGAGAGAGACGTACAAGTACCTTTCAAAGCATAAACATTAAATGCATTGGTCTGGAATGTCTTCCCTTGGACGGTGGCCTCACAGATGTAGGGCCCCACACTGAAGGTCCCATTGAAGCCCTGCTTGCTGTCGTAAGAGGCAAACACCAGCCTACCCTCATTGTACAGAGTTACATGAGTCTCTGGATCTGTGGTGCGACAAGGTATGATGGCAGAATCGTCTTCTTCCACAATGACTAAAGAATCTGTCATTCCTAGAGGCACAAAGGCCATGTCTGGGTCTGTGGTTTAAAGAGAGAGAGGAATCTATTAGGGTTTCATTTCACTTTTATGTATACATACAGAAAAAATGTCCCCTTAGCATTGTCTATCATTATTATTATCATTATTACTCATTATTTCGATGGTACTGGAGATCCAACTCAGGACCTGACATATGGTAGACAAATATGCTGCCACTCAATTATACCCCCAGCTTGGCATTATTCTTGCTAGGTATGAATTTTGGCTCTGTCCATATATCCAAGAGTCACCCCACCTAACATTAGTCATTTTGACAGGCAGAAGGTAACTTTAAAGTAAGTCTAAAAAGTACTCGGTGGAGGGGCTGAAGAGATGGCTCAGCAGTTAAGAATACTTGCTGTTCTTCCAAAGGACCCAGGTTTGATTCCCAGCACCCACATGGCAGCTAACAACCATCTGTAACTCCAGTTCCAGGGGATCCAATGCCCTCTTCTGACCTCTGCGGGCATTGCACAACATGGGTGCACTCAAACACATGTAGGCAATATACTCATACAAAATAAATAAGAAATAAATAAATAATAAATAATTTTTTTAAAAAAGAAAGAAAACCCTACTGCCTTTAGCTATTATTAGTGAAAAGCAGCATAGTAATCTGTTAAAAGTAACCTCTCAAGAAATAGAGTTCAAGTGGGTACAGGGCTATGAGGAGGAGGGACAGAGTGTGTGCTTCTCATGCACAAGTCCCTGGACTGGATCCCCAGCATGGATGAATCCGCAGCTGGAAGCCTTCCTTTGCAGGTTCACCCCTAAGGAAGCTGCTATGGTGAGAAGTTGTAAGTTTCAAGCACCAGCTGTAGGCTAGGCCCTGGTCTCCATATAACTGCTGGGAAGAAGACGGGAGGGGTTTTCACTAGAGGTGAGAACAGGAAAAAAAAAAAATCTGGACTAATTTAGGCAGATCAAAACTTCAGAAACCACTTTTAACAAGCCCACGGTCCACTCTGTTCAAAGCAAAGAGAAAGCCCTCCAAGATTAGAAGATTTTACTGAGAGAACTTTTTATCATCATCATTATCTATGTATAGCATTAAGGTGATATTCTATTTGAGACAGGCTCTCCCTGTAGCCCCAGCTGGCCTAGAACTCACTATGTAGACCAGGCTGGCCTTGAACTCACAGAGATCCACCTGCCTCTGACTCCCAAGTGCTGGGACTAAAGGCATGTACCACCACAAAAATTCACAAAATTTTTTATTTTGAGAAAAGAATTTCTAGAACTGATTATGGCTCAGCAGGTAAAATGCTCTCTATACAAGAGTAAGAACCAGAGTTCAGATCCCCAGCACCCTTGTAAATACAGTAAAAGCATGCAGGTGTGGTAGCCCGCCTGCAATTCCAGTGCTCCAAAGTAGAGAGACAAGGGATTCCCATTTCTGTGAGTTCTGGGTTCAACTGAAACACCCTACCTCAATGAATAGGTGGAAAGCAATCAAAGGAGATTCCTGACATCAGCCTTGGCCTCCACACCACACATATGCACGCTACCATACATACCCCCCCACACACACACACACTCAGACACATGTTTAAAAAAATGCTAAGTTGGGTATGGTGGTGCATGCTTTTAATCCCAGCACTTGGAAGACAGAGACAAGTGGATCTCTGTAAGTTCCAAACCAGCCAAGACTACATAATGAGACTCTGCCTCAAAAAAAAAAAAAAAAAAAAAAAAAAAAAAAAGAACAGGGTCTAGCTCCCTAGACATTATCACAAAGACAGAGGACAGAAGAAATAACTAAAACTGAAAAATAAAGATAGAGCCATTTTATCGTAAGAACTTCCTTACCTGACTCGGGCCAAAAGAATAAGGAAGGGATAAAGAGGGAAAGTATTTTGAACAGCTAAGGTGGTTTTTAAATTCTTTGTTGGTATACTTTCATTGTAGCCGGCCGTAGGTTTCAGATGCACTTTCCTTCAAATATATCATGTGTTACTAATTTTAATTTTTTTATTTACTTATTTTTATTTTATGTGTATAAATGTTTTGCCTGCATGTATATAAGTGCATTCATATGTGCAATGCCCATGGAGGTCAGAAAGGGATCAGATCCCCTGGAACTGGAGTTACAGACATTTGTTAGCTGCTATGTGGGTGCTGGGATTCAAACTCAAATCCTCTGAAAGAGCAACCAGTACTCTTAACTGCTGAGCCATTTCTCCAGGCTCTCCTCTGAAAATGCCACCACCCCAATTTGTGTTCCAAGTTCCAAGTCTTGAACTCTGTCTCGACAAATATTTCATCAAACAAAGCTACATATTAATTTCAGGTTCAAATAGATAGACTGATGTCTCTCATGTTTCAGTTGGGCTTTCCTTTCAAATGCTACTCTGCCCCACTAGCTATACAACTGTGCAATGTTTAAGCAACACCAGAGTCCTTCTTTGTACAATTGTCCTTGTTAGAAGGCAATACTATACACAAGTACAGACAGAGCTACAGATTCACAAGGGCACATAGCAAAGGCAAGGTGGGAGGTAACCAGAGGCATCTCAAGCTCCTGGCTAAGCCTGGATTAGTGAGAAAGCATATCCTTCCAATCACAGGGGACTTAACTGTCCAAAGCCTGGCCCTGAAGCCCTCATAACTTAAAGGTGTGCCCCAGAAATGCTTCCTGCCCATTGAGGGGAACTTAGATCCATGGGCTGGAATGCCCCATGCTCTGCTGAGCCAGCCCAGCAGTCTAGCTCCCATCTATCCAACTAGACCCATGTCACCGTGCAAGATCCCTTCCATTCCCTGCCTAGGCCTTGCCCTTCATAAAACCTTGCATTTTTACTCCCATCTAACTTGCATCTCAGCATCTGCTTTTCAGTGGATGTCATATCATTAGCATGGAATTTCTCCTAAATTTTAATTATAAAGACAGAGGATGCCTTCTAATTCATCAAGAGTAAATGCATGTTTGTATTAGATCTGAAAATCTGAGTGCTTATTTGGAAGCTACTCTACTGAACTATATAAGTAATTCAGGACAAGGCCTGCCTGTTCTCCAACATCGAACGTGGTGCCTGACACTATAAGTACTTGCTGAACTTGACTGAACCAAATAGAACAAACACATTTCAGATCTTTTTTTGTACCAAACCAATAAAGGACATGCCATAGTAAAGACTATTTTCAAAATTAGTAGAGTTCTGAAATATTAACAATACATACTTCTCTCTGGGAGGAATCCAGAGCCTGGCCCATGCTAAGACAGAATTCTGCCACTGAGTCACATCCCCATCCATGAATCTACCTTGAGTTGACATTGCAAATGATCTTTATTTAATTCTGTGTGTTTTGCTGGGTATGATGGGCTATATGGGTAGTCACGACTACTTGGAAGGCTGAGGAAGGAGGATTGCTGTGTCTAGGAGTTTGAGAACAGTCTGGGCAATGAAGTAAATCTTCATTTCAAAAACAATAACAAATCTGGGTGTGGTGACACATGCCTGTAATTCTGGCACTCAGGAGGTTGAGGTGACAGGATGGCAAATTCAAAGTCAGTCAGGCTACATAAGGAGATTCTGTTGTCTCAAAAAAAAAAAAAAAAAACCCAAAGCCAGGCATAGTGGGGCATTCCTGAAATCCCAGTATTCTAGAAGCTGAAGCAGTGGTTTGCTGTGAGTTAGAGGCCAGCCTGGACTATGTACTAAGTTCCAAGACAGCCAGAGCTAGAGAGAAAGACCCTGTCTCGAAAAAGAAAAACAGGACCTAGAGAGATGGCTCGGCGGTTAAGAGCACTGAGGTTCTCAGCACCCACATTGTGACTAACAATCATCCTTAACTCCAGTTCCAGGGGATCTAATGCTGTCTTCTGGCCTCTGAAGGCATTGCACAACATGAGTGCACTTAGATACATGTAGGCAATACACTCATACACATAAAATCAAAATAATAAAAACTTTTTTTAGAAAAGAGAACACTGTGTTCTCAATTTTTCAAATTTTCTCCAATCACCATTTATTACTTCTATGTTTTATGATCCTGAACACAGTGAAGCAAAGAGACAACAGGCCGCAGCTGGGCCCAGGGATCCGTGAAACTCACCTGGCACATAGATGTAAATGTGCCTGCCCTCTATCTCACTTTCTTCTGTCTGAGTGTGGTTGTAATAGCAAGTGTACCATCCGGTGTGGGCTGCCGAGGCGTTGACCACTTCCAGCACTGTCACAAAGAGGCCGCTGTTGTTCTCCTCACTTCTGATTTCCACGTCGGGGTCCTCTTCTTCAGACATGGGGTGCTGCCAGCTCACTTCACTCTCCCCAAAGCATCTCAAAGAAAAGGATGAATTCAGCTGCACAACCTTCTCGTTCTCATTTGGGAGGATAGAGGGTAATAAGAGCTGGCAGAGGATGAGGCTCGGCCCTGTAAAAAGAAGCAGGCACTGAATAGAAAGGACAGCTTCGCACAGTGGCAGCTTATATGAACGACGACTATTTCTACACGAAATTCCGTCAGCCTGGATGCCCATGAAAAGCCCCCCATTATAACAGCCACTGCATCTGCTGAGAGCAGCAAGTGTTCCAACGGCCTCCACAGCCCCACAAAACCCCCCAGAGACACCCCTCCAAACACTCAAATGGATAGAGGATGTCTGATTCCAATTCCATATTTCACACTCTTATGTGTGACCATAAAATATCTCAACATGGTCTGGGCTCAAGCACATATGGGCTCTTTATCATGCACATGCCTGGCAGAAGTTTCCTTTGGTTAAAAGGGATTGGGGAGGTGTGGGAAGAGGGACAGGGAGATGGACAGAACAAAGCACAGAGCAGATCTCGGCAGGCAGGCTCGAGAATCACACATCTTCCTTAACTGCCGCCCTCTGGCACACCATCACCCCTTAGTGACTTCCAAAATCCAAAGTAAGAAGACATGGATTTAAATCACCAATAGCAAATAAAGCCCAGGCTTGAAGTTCATCTCCATACCTCGAATTTCAGTCTAGCTTAAGTAGAAGAGATATTATGAGTTAATTATTAATTAACGGTCTCCAGTTTGCCTCCATGCCTCATGTGAGAATCATAGCTAACTTTAAAGGAATGTCTGCAACACATAAATATCTGGATAAGAGCCAGGTATGGTGGTGCATGTCTTTGGTCCCAGCACTTGGGAGGCAGAGGCAGGCAGATCTTTGAGTTCAAGGTCAACCTGGTCTACATAGTTCCAGGCCAGCTGGGGCTACGGGAAGGCCCTGTCTCAAAAAGACAAAAAAAAAAAAAAAAAAAATCTGGATAAAAACTAGTAAATGTGAACTGTTTCAGCAAACAGACCATAGCATCCTCCTGATTAGAAAGAACTAATGAGTCCTCAAGAGCCAAACACTCACCTATCACTTGCATCCCAAGAGAAGAGAAAGGAGCTTTGAGATTTTCAAGCAGTATAAGCACCTTTCATTAAGGCAGGTCTGATTTGATAACTTGGCAAGAACGTTCTTTTTTTTTTTTTTTAAGTGGCACTAGGGACTGAACCCAGGGTCTACTACATGCTAAGCAAGCACTCTACCACTGAGTATATCCCCAGCCCTCTTTTTACTTTTCATTTTGAGGCAGGGTCTTACTAAGTTGCCAAAGCTGGCCTTGAATTCTCTCTGTAGCCTAGGTTGAACTTGAGTCTGTGACCCTCTTACTAAAGCCCCTGACATAGCTGGGATTACAGGTCTGAGCCACCAAGTTCAGTCTGTGGGAATGATTTTTCTGGGAAAGACTCTTTGTAATAAGTCTGTACAAATTAAAATTTTACATAACCTTGTAAACCAAATTAATCACGTTTTGAGAACATTTATAACCGCATATTCCTTTTAAGAAAAACAATGCAATCAGCCCTACAATGATTTGGAATTCGAATGTGAATAGTGCTTACAAGCTTTAATCTTATACCATGCTCCCTATTTGTGACTCAGTTGTGCCCCTGACTCAGAATGTGAGCATGAGATGTGACACCAATGGCACTGAAAACATCTCCCCCACAAATGTTGCACACAACATGGGACATAGGTCGATGGCTTTGTATACCATTCTGACTCAATCCAGTCAAAAAACTAACTTCTTCCCCTATGAAACTGTTATCAAAGATTGTTCAGCAGGGTGTGGTGGTACATACCATTAATCCCAGCACTTGGGAGGCAGAGGCAGGTGAGTCTCTCCAAGCCTGAGACCCTATATCAAAAATTTCTAAAAAGATGGTTCATGCTGGGTGTGGTGGTACACACCTTTAATCCCAGCACTTGGGAGGCAGAGGTAGGTGGATCTCTGTGAGTTCAAGGCCAGCCTGGTCTATATAGTGAGTTCCAGGTCAGATGGGGCTACAGGGAGACCCTGTCTCAAAAAGACCAAAAAAAAAAAAAAGATTGTTCATACTATGATTGATATGCTGTTCAATAACTATGCAAGAAGCCCTTTGTTAAACAAAGAGCAGAAGAGACACAGTTCTGAGAGAATAATTCTAAGAGAAATCAGCACCAAGTTCAGATCCCTCTTGGTTAAACTACTCCAGGAGTGAAGTTCCTCTTTAATGGGATCCCCACTTCATTGTGGTGTCTCGTGAGAGGAATCAGGCGCCACTACACTAGTCTTTCTTTTCTTTGAACATGTCTGAATTGATCTGATCCTCTTCTATTGGAAGTCCAAGTCCCAGGGAAAAGAAGTGGGCAAGTTTGGACAGCATTTAAATGCCAAGATTATTCATACCCTCAGACCTCCAATGGACAACATTCGTTTTGAAATGGAACTAGTGCAGTACAACAAAGGGCCAAAGATTCATGGTCGCTCTGGATAGTTTTCTTTTTCTTCTCATCCTATATGTACAGAGTATGGGTAATGGACCCATACTAATCAGTAATGGAGGAAAGAAGAAATGACCTTCCTACAATAGTGAATTAAGAGGATGAGGATGCGTACCTGTGAGGAGACAGCCGAAGACCAGGAAGGCCCAGTGGAAAGTTCCCATAGCGCCAGAAAACTGCAAAAGACAAAAACCCAACATAAATAGTGTTAGCCGATGGAAAACCACCATGGAGCCTAGTTGTCCAATTCCCACAACAGAAAGCCTTCATGGTATCATTTCAGTAGAAACATGACCCAACTTAAGGTTGATGGTTAATACAGTAAGACAGCTGAAAGGAAAGAACCAAGGATCCTGAAGGAGCCTCAAGATAATTCTAGCATCAGAAACTGCAACACTTTCTGACTGGTTGTAACTTTCTGGAAAGTTCCGGTTAATTTCTGGTTCTAGAAAGGCTGGTTGACTTCCTGGGGTATACAGAGTATACTTTCTTGAGAACACTTAAATTAAGAATATAGAAACCAAAGAAATAAATGTTCTGGGCTTTCCAAGCTGGAGTGGTCACTACTTCAGATAGACTGTCACCTGCTTCCAGTTGCAATTCATCAAGAGCGTTCATCCTCTTTCAGAAAAGTTGCTTGAGCTGGAACAAATACTTTAATATTAAAATGCCATTCAGATCTAGACTAACCAATGTCAGGCATGCACAAGACCCAGACCTGGATTCCCTTGTGGAACCAGGCTACCTGAGACAGCCAGAATACTAGAGGCTTAGAAAGCCTAGGACAGACACACGAAGGGAGGAGAAGTGAAGTGAGGGGGGATGGAGGGTGGAATGAGAACCTAGTCCTATGCTGGAGGAATGGAGATTCGAGGTAAGGAAACAGCAGCTGAGCAAACCAAGTTCTAGGGAGTAGCAAGGCTCCCTCCCACAGATCCTCAGTGCAGGGCCAGCAGAGGAGGGAGTCTCCATGTGACCCCTCATACTCTGTTTCTTGCACAGAAGTTTAGTAAATGGCCCCAAAACTCACAGAGCAGAGCTAGGACTGTGTATCTGTTTATGCATGTGTACGTTTGTGTGCAGATGCATGTGGAGTCAGAGGTCAGTATCAGGTTCTTCCTACATTGCTGTGCACCTTATTTTTTGAGGTAATGTTTCTTAACTGAATCTGCAGCCCCAGGTATCTGCCTGTCTTCATCTTCCCAGCTCCAGGATTACAAGCGCACACAACCACCTGAGTTTTTTATGAGCATGCTTAAGATCCAAACTCAGGTCCTCAAGTTTGTACTGAAAGCACTTTACCAGCCAAGCCATCTCCCCGCAAGGGCCAAGATTTCAACCCAAGGCTGTGTTCTCTCCACTCTATTCTGTGGTCTCTCTTGGAAAGGTCAGCCTTTCAGTACCCTGCTCTTTCCTAATACAATCTAGAGTGCCCCCCCCCATTCTCTGCCCACCACAGTGGGGAAAACCTAATTGTAGGGCTGTGGAGCAAATGCACTTTGCAAATGATGGCTGGCTTGATGGCCTCTGAGGATCTTGGCCGATCCTGGAGGATGCAGCGTTTCCAAACTGCTGTGGTGACAGTCACAGAGGGCTCCAGAGCCAGGCTAGCTGTCTGATTTACCACAATTAGCAGTAAGGGCCTGTGTGTTTGTACACACAAATATCAGCCTCCCACTGATAATCCATTTGGCCAGCTTCGAAGTGGCTCCTAGCGCCAGCTTGCCGGCTGGGGTTTATCACATTCACATCCTGTAGTTCTCCAAAGAGTCTCACCGGCAATGGAGCTTTCAAGTCCTCTCAGCTTAAGAGAAGGACTCAGCACACTGACAGAGCAGGCTCTGAGGAGTGTTCTGCCCCAGCCAGGCCCCACCAAATTTCCTTCTGTGTGTCCAGATACGGTGGACCTGCTGCCAGAGATGATGATTTACTGACATACAAAGTGGGCAATGAAAACAGGGCCTCTGAGAGAGAGATAATGATGGGAATACCGAGCATCCACATGTGTTTGCTTAAGACTTCAAGCTCCTGTCTCTGATAACAGTGGTTCCCTGGCTAGAAATGGCAGGGGTATTTATGAAGTTGCACACCATTACTCATCTGTAACCCAGACAATCTACTCATGAATAATTGCAGAGTGTCTGCCCTACAGTGAGAAACAGAGCCCAAGGGGAGAAATGGAGACTCCCCCTGGCTGTTGGCCCTGTACTGAGGATCTCTGGGAGGGATTTTTGCTATTGAGGGTGCTTTCCCACCCTGAGAGTAAGTACCATTCCTTAATTAGTTGCTCCTAGCCTGGAGCACCCATAGGTCCAACATAAAGATATAAGTAATTGAGGTTACAAAATCTGAGGTTCATGGCAATGTAAGTCAGTGAGCACAAAGCACTTCTACAGAGCACCTTTTTTTTTTTTTTTTTTTTTTTGAGACAGGGTCTCCCTGTAGCCCTAGCTGGCCTGGATTCTCTGTGGAGACCAGGCTGGCCTCGAACTCACCACCACTTCTATAGACTTTAAAAAAAAAAAATCATTACTGATCTGGGCATGGTGGCACACACCTTTAATCCCAGCACTTGAGAGGCAGAGGCAGGCGGATCTCTGTGAGTTCAAGGCCAGCCTGGTCTACATAGTGAGTTCCAGACCAGCTGGGGCTACAGGGAGACCTTTTCTCCAAAACACAAAAAACAAAAACAAACAAACAAAAAAAATCATTACTGGGGTTGGCAAGATGGCTCAATGGGTAAAGGCACTTGCCACCAAGCCTGATGATCTGAGTTCCATCCTTGGGACCCACATGATAGAAAGAGACAACCAATTTCCACAAATTGTCCTCTGACCTCCACATGTGTACTATGACACATACACACATAAATAAATTTAATTTAATTTTTTAAACTCATTAATTAATTAGCCAGGCATAGTGATGCAGGCCTCTAATTTCAGTACTCAGGAGCCAGAGACAAGAGGATCAGAAGTTCAAGGCCAGCTTCAATGACACAAGTTCAAGTCTGGCCTGGGCTACATGTGACCCTATCTCAAAAAAAAAAGAAAAAGAAAAACCATTCCAGCCTCCGTATTCACAGTTCAAAAAGCATTGTCACAATTGGAGAAATGAGCAGAAATATGAGATCACGACTGTTTACTCCCAGGCAGGTTTGGTTCATCTTCAGCCTGTTACCCTTATTCCTTCTCAGAAGACACCGGACTGGATTCCGATCCCGACTATAACTTTGCCCATCTCTCTGAACCTCAGCCTCTTCCATAAACTGTGACCAACCATTCCTGACTTGCTTGCTGGCCATACTGTGTGTAATAAAGAGTACCTTACATAGTTTCACTGAAAGGGCTTGAGTGCTCACTTTGACTCTTTCTCTGCAGACTCTTAAGATATTTTAGATGATACCAGGTCCTTGTACTTCTCTTTGCTAAGAAACTGAAGCTCTGGAGGCCACACAACTGTATCCTCTGCCTAGTAAAATGGATCTAACTGTGATTCTCCCAGGCCAGCCAGCAATCCATTACCACGGCCTGCTACCTCCAGCTGGTGTCGCTGTAACAACCATTGCAAGATCAACTAATGTATACAGTCTTCTAAACACAGAAACCAATCTGATTACAGCTACTCTCCTTCTCCCTCGCTTCCCCATCCTTCCTCCCCCGCCACCTTGCTTCCTCCTTCTCTCTCCTTCCTCTCCTTCTTTAGTTCTCCCACATATTTATAGCCCAAGTTGACCTTGAACTCAAGATCCTCCTGCTTCAGGCCTGCACTATCACACTCAAGTTATTTTTCTCTCTTTAACAGTATTCCATTTCACCCACTGCAAACAAAGGTGAAATTACTGAAGATGACTCTAACCAAAGGCCACAAGATAAGCTCAAACGTAAACAGAATACAGGTAGTGCAAAGTTTCTTCCCGCCATCCTCACAAGACAGGAGCCAGCTTCCTCATCACCATGGGCATAATGCACCCATTCCACTGCACAACCATTGGATACTGAATTCCACCCCACCCTGTCCCAATTAAAGACCACAAAAGACTCTGACAGTCCCAAAGCCACTGATGACCTCAAGATTCAAATTTCTGAGGTTTGGTTAATTTCAGCTCTCCTAAGTTAATTCTAACTGTGAAAATAACATCTTGGGTTTTGCACAGAACTTCAGCCCAGGCAGCTCAAATGCAGGTCTGCAACAGTGGCAAGGTCTGTGTTTTCTAGCCCAGAGTGTATTTCCTAGGGCCTGCACACCACCAGGGCCTATGTTGTTTTGATTTCCCAAAGCATTGGTTGGACATTCCAATGAGGGCCAGGGACCAGAGCACTTTTACACACAAGCATTATATGAAACAATCTGAGCTCATAAACCTTTCTGCTATCCCTGTACCAGATCTGTAACTATAGGAGAATAAAGTGACACTTCCTTCTGACTGTCACTATCCTGATAGAACAAGTGAGCATTGACTCGAGGTCAGCAAGCCCCCATACCAGGTTTATAGGAAAGCAAAAACCCTCCCTGTTGTTGGGTGTGATGGCACACACCATTAATCCCAGCACTTGGGAGGCAGAGGCAGGCGGATCTCTGTGAGTTCAAGGCCAGCCTGGTCTACATAGAGAGTTCAAGGCCAGCTGGAGCTACAGGGAGACCTTGTCTCAAAAACACCAAAAACAGAACAAAAAAAAAAAAAAAAAAAAAAAAAAAAAAAAAACCTCCTACCTTCTTTACAGGTCTGCCCACATAATTCACTATGTGAATGTAAAGGGTTAACAATTAAGGCTAGAGATGTAGCTTAGTGGCTCAGCCCTTATTAGCATTTGCAGAGACAAAGTTTGATCTCCAGTAGCCCCCACCCACAAACACACACACACAAAAACAAGTTGGAAAACTACACAAATGTATGAAAAATAAACCCTGACCTTCCGGTGATTCTTGCAGATTCATAGGAAGATAAAATTAGCAAAAAACATTTTCGTCCCAAAGAGCACGGATGGGGGGGACGACGACGGCAGGGACACTTCTTGCCTACAGTTAATGCTTGCTAGGAATCTCCGAGGAATCGCACTCAGAGGGTTAGTCAGTTCCTCAATATAGCCAGCAGATGGCAGTGTTGGCCCGAGGACGTGCGTCCTGGGGTTCACCAAGACGCAAGCACCACTGAAGAAAATTCTAACCCAAAATTCTCCAACTTTTACATTCTTTTAGGTTGAACTTTTTTAGGTTTTGTGACGACTTCAGTTGAACAACGAGGCGTGGAGCCAGAAATAACAAAACTGATGTTTAAAATGCCTACCTAAATGTTTTGGGGGACCCCAGCAGAATTAAGTGAAGAACAAGCACAATCGTCATCACCATCTCCCAGGGCACGAGAGACCGCCAGGCCTTGGAAGCCAGAAAGACGGCGCTGCCAATCGGACGGCAAAGGTTTGGAGGAGACAATGCTTTCTGCCTTTCCACCCTTCCAAGCAAAGAGGCCACCTGATCAGTGCCAAGAGAGACTGCAACGCCTTTCCCAGGCCGTACTGACTGCCCAATCTGTTCGCACGCCATTGTCACCACTCAAACCCATCGGGCGGGGGCCCTGCAGTCTGGATGATTAGCAGCGACTGCTCCCACTGCACAGTAACGCAGGGTCGTAAAACAAGCAAACAAACAGCAACAGGCTGCCAGCGTAATAGGGGAACATGCGCGGGCCTGGGGCACACAAGGAGGCGACTATCCAAGATCGCGCGCGGTCTGGGCTCCTCCACCTTCCCTTAAATTGTGGCACCCCAACTACGGCCCAAACCCGGACCCTCGGCCAGCTCTCGCCCATTCAACGCCTCCGGTGCCCACGAAGTGGCCGCAGGAAGGGTCAAGGGAGACCCAGGTGAGCCCGAATTCTGGGGCCCCTGACCGTCCAAGGCAGGAGGGACTCGGCGCACTCCCGGAACCCGCTAGAGGGCGCGGCTGACCCGCAGATCTTACCAGACTGGTCCGCCGCCGCCCGCAGCTCAGGCTCTGGGTCCCCGACAGCACAGCCCGGAGCGCTGCTGGCAAACGGCAAACCACCTCCCGGAAGCTCCGCGCTGACGCGCTCTGGATGGCGACTCCGAGACACACACACACACACACACACACACACAAACACACACACACACACACACACACACACACCTCGCTCCCTCAGTCACACCTCGCTCCCCCTCCAGCCTTCTCCAAGCCCTCCGCAACTAGATCGCCACCAAATAGGGTGCGACGCAGATGTGCTCCTATATCCCACGACCCTGCCAGCAGAGCTCCGGGTCGCAGAAGCCGCCGCGCCGGAGCTGAACACTCAGCGTTTGCATTGTTTTCGACTGAGACCTGAGAGGGGGCCGGGCGGGGTGGAGGGAGAGGGGCCCCAGGTTTAGGGTTACAGGCGAGTGCCAGCGCCTCCTATAGGCCGGAGTTGCAGCGCCGCCCGCCGCTGCTGGCGCGCAAGGCCGCCACAAGCCCTCACCTTTCATGAATCTGGTCTTCTTAAGTGGCCACCTTGCCCCTTTGTCGCCGTCCCTGTGCACAACCGCGCCTGCGAGTGTCTCTCACCCCCGTGTCTCCCGGGAGGGAGGGAGGGACTGTAGTAGGAGGCGGACAAGGATACTCCCCAAGTCCGGGGCTCTCTTCTATCCCACCCTACCATCTAGTTTCCCAACTCATTCGTTGTTCGCCCTAGAGTTTAAAACAAAAGAAAATGACGCCGAGCCACTCCAGGAAAAAAGCACTGGCGGCGCCCAGGATCAGACTGCAATCAGGAAAAGCTTAGAGTGATGCTACAAGACCCCTCCCCCAGCTCTTCCCGGAGATGGATGCTGCGTGTGGACCCAACGTGCCCATGGTCGCCAAAGCCGCTGAGAGCCGCACCTTTCAATCACCTATCCAGCTTTTAGCTCTCGGTCTAGAATTGCCACTTTCCCATTAGCTACGTGTAACCTGGACGCAGCTCCCTGAAGGCCAGAGTTCCACCCACTCAGGTCCGCAGGCCGAAGGCTGGTCACCACGTCCCCAGGACGCGCACCGCCCACCGCCTGTCCCCAGGAGGCAGAAAACCCGCCCGCCTCGGCGCCTGACGTGTTTGCAGCTGGAAGCCCAGCGCAGAGCCCCTCCCCCTGCATCTCTCTCTAGCCCGCGCCCCTGGAAGAAAGTAGCCTCAGAGCCCTGACCTGAGAGGCCGGGCTTTGCTTCTAGTCCCTACGAATCCCAAGAGTGGAGCAAAAGTTGGATACTGAGTTCCGCTCTGTCCTCATCCTCCCTTGCTCGCCTGAGCAAGATCCAGCTGTACTTGGTCAACCCCCAAACAGAACTGTTGCTAGAGGTCGGAAGCAGGGACTGACCAGAGCGTCAAAGTAGCAAGGCGTGTACACACACACACACACACACACACACACACACACACACACACGCCTGTTGGGGAGTTGAGGAGTCCTCATCAAAAGAATTCTGGAAAGGAAGACGCTGAGACGAAGGAGAAGATGCAATGCCCAAGAAGCCAGATAGGGGAAAGGGTTGTGTAAAAAACAGAATCTGTGCGACAGTAGATGAGAGGTGCAAGCCTAGGGAAGCGCTTCGTCCTCTCCTGGGATAGGGAGTACTCCGACTTTGGGGTCTGGTGAGATGTGCCTCCTTCTGCTCCAAAAAGCTGCCTAGGTCTGATCGAAGTGATCATGACGAAAGCACTCAGTACAAAACATTGAGCAACTCGGCCACGGAGCCAAAAAGCCATTTCCCACACAGCACAGCCTGGGGAAATGGGCAGCTCTGCCGGACGCTGGGCGGCTTAGACACTGTAAGGGCCATCCACGCTCCAGTCCCAGCCTAGGTCTTCCTCCCAGCCTTGGGGCGGGCTGGGTGACATGTTCTTCAAGGCACTTTCTGTGCATCCTGAGGTCTTAGCAGGGCTGGGGAATCCTAGCAACAGGGACAGACCCGATGGCAGACAAACAACCCAAAGCTTCCTTTCTGGCCAAGGCGAGTCGCCAAGTACTTGGCAGCTCCGGCACACCTGGCCCCGAGGCTCTGGCTCGGTCTGGCTGCAGACTTGGGCCGGTCACACTCCCTCGCACTGGGAGCTGGCCGACACCCTTTCCAAACAGAACCACGGATCCCAGGGGTTTCAAAGCCAAGTAGACGACGCCCGCTTCCCCAACATGCCAGGAGAAGTTAATCTCACGTGTGTAAACCAATTTCCATGGGGATAGACGGCGGAAGTGGGAGGGCAGAGAACAGACCGCTCCAAAGCCTGCAGGGTGGCAGACACTGAAGCAGAGGAGAAAAAGGGGACACTGGAGAGGGTGAGCGCAGGCGACCAGTGCCACGCATTCCAGCGAGGACAGAGGTCCAGGGCACTGGTACCCACAAGCAGGAGGCGAGAGTGGTTGGCATCTCACCTTTCTGGCTTACCTGCAAACTACTTTGTCCGTTCTGAGGAGTCCCTAACTTTCTCACAAGAAAGTCAGCACTTGGCAGGGGATCTTGCCTCTTTCCTGCCTGTGGCCAGGACTGAGCCACAGCCGGGTCCTGGCGCAGCAAAGATTTCACTGAGGAAGAATTTGAGTAGAGACTGGTGGGGGTGGAGACCACCGGGCACCATGAGGGCCCCTCGGAGCGCGGTTTGAAAATTCCTCAAATCCCAGTTGTTGGAATGCGAGGCCACGACGACTTCTTCACTTCGGGCCAAAATATGTTTGTCATTATTCCAGATCGCTCGCCCTGGCCGCCGCCGGCGTCGCCTGGGTGAGAGGCGCGCAATCCTTGCGCACTGAGGACCGTGCGCCCGCTCTTTCTAGCATTTCACTGACCCAGCAAAAGGCTCCGGGGCTCTCCAAACTCTCACCCAAGCCCGCGCGCCTCTGCTGTTCCTGCAGTCACCACCGCGGTGCTGAGTTTGGCCCCGGCTCACTCCTGGAGCAGCGCCGTCCAGTGATTACGCGCGATCCACTGGCGCCATGTGTACCCGGCCTGCATCCTAGGTCGGACCTCCTCCAGCCGAGCCCTTCACACCTCCCTTTTCTCCAGAGTCTTCCCGCGCCCCACTCGGAGCCCTCTTCTCCGCACTTCTCCAGGTCCCCCAGCCATGTTCCACTCCACCCGCTACAGCGCTGTCCCGCCAAACCGCGGGCGAGTAATAAAAATACTCTTTAAAAACCTGTCCTTTTCCAGGACCCACTGCCAAGAAAAGACCAAACACCTCTGCTTCCACCCCCAACGTTACTTGTTATTGGTCCCAGTTATGCACGAATGCCATCCCCCCCACCCCACAGAAAAAAACCTCAAAAATGTAAGCCATAACAATTTCTTTGGGAGGTCATAGAGTTGCTACAAAAACGCTGTTTTTAAAAATAGGTCTGGAAAAAAATTTTAATCCTCAGACTTTCTAACTCTATGGTTACCCCCATCCCAGTGAAGTTTATTCATACTAAATTGCTCTCTGGACACACAACGGGAATTCAACTATTTTCTTTCCTCATTGCCCAAAATTTGAAGTTACTTTTCTTCTTCCAGCCTCAAGAGCAGATCGGGGACTTCTTTAGAAACAAAAATTACTTTTTCCTCCCCCTTACCTTCTCCTCCTATGTCAATTCGCAAGGGAAATCCTATACATGGAGTAAAACGTAAGTCCAAGGCCTCCAGTCCTCTCCTGCAGTTTCTGTTTCACTCCTCTGTTTCTCTCTAGCTCCAACTGTAATGGGCTCAAAAACCGCGTTTTGTAATTGATTCAATGTTATAGTCCATCCTTCTAAAACTAATCATTTGCTCAAAGTAAATAGCTGTCAGGAAATGAAGCCCCCCCCCCCCTTGGCCTCTTCAAAATAAAAGTTTCCTCTGATTCCTTGCATGCTCAATCACTCAGCCTCCAGATTTCGCCTTTGCTTTTTGCTCTTATGCAATCAGGGGGTCCAGTCCCAACCCCCAGACTTCAACAACAACTGGGGGGCGGGGAGAAGCAAACCAGATGGGGTGGGGGTGGTTGAAGGGGGAGGTGTTGATGCTCTGCCGGGAAAGAGATTTCATGAAACTACAAACAACCATCATTTCTAAAATGAGCTTGCCTCCCAGTTTGGGGACTATTTTCCTATACTGCTATTATTTTGTGTCCTGTTGAAAAAGAAGGGGGGGGTAAATTATAGTTAATTTCAAGAAAAGAATACAAATCTAGAATTCAGAAATTTCCCTTCTGTAGACACTCCTGGCCCGGCTAGGAATACCCTGGGGAAAAACCTTAAAGCGGTCACATCGTTTTGAACTAGGGATCTTTAAGCGAAAGTGCCGCGTAGTCGCTAATCCTTTAATGGGATTAGGAAACTATTTCGTCTAATACGAGGACGATGGGTTTTTGAAAGACTGGAGTCAGTGATGGTGTGCAAATAGCGGATGTTCAGCGCACGCTTGGGACAGTCTCCCAAGAAAGACCTTTACCCTCTCGGAGCCACTTATCTCATCACGCCTTTGTTTTCAGGGTTATCTGGGAGGGGCAGCCCTCGCTTCTACCATCAGATGAAAATTCCAGGCTTGGAGGTTTGGCCTGATTACCACACGCCCTCCACCTCGGCACCTAGAAGGCGGGTGAACCTCCCTAAATTCTACCCCTCTGAGTGGGTCCTATCCTACCAAAACTCTTGGGATGGAGAGTTGAGCCAGGATCCCTGGAATCCAAAACACCAAACAAGCGACAGTTGAGAGACAGCAATCCTGCTGGCGAGGGAAAGGGGGCGCTGACACTCCAGAAACTGGACCTGGACGAAGTGGGCCTTCCCAGCACCGGTGGGGGAAGGGAGCGCCTTCGCCTTACGCTCTAGTTTTGAATTCTCTTGTTGGTATGGCGAGTCGACCTTTATCTTCTCCCACCATCTCCTACATATCAACTTTTACAATACGCAAAGTGGCCAGGAGGACACCGCACGTGGACTAACCATAGCCTCCTTCACTGGGAAAGTGAACACTGGGCTGAGGAAGTTCACAGACGCTCCCCCAAGGGGTTGAGTGTTGTGCCTAACTGGGACAGGACAGTGGGGTGTCAGGCTCAGGAAAAGGAGCCTCGGGCTGAACTGGAGCCCCAATTCTCCTCCACCCCTCTGAGAGCCAGCCTCTCGTGCATCCTCAGTTCAGAGACTGCCTCACTCGCTATTACTTCCACATGTTCCTTCAGGAAATCATTGAAGGCGAATATATGAACAGTCCCCTTGTTCGGAATGTTAGCAGGATACCGTAATGTTTGTAGATAACGAACAGGACACTAACAACATGCACACACACACACACACACACACACACACACACACACAGCACGCCTGCAATAAAAGGCAAGTCGGGTACTTGCTTTCATGTTATTATTAAAGATAAGTTGAGGCCTGGGTTTTTATACCGGGTACCTAGGAAGGGTAGAAGTCGAAGCAGGAATCCTGCCGAGAAGGGCCTGCCTCGCAGCCGTCCTGCCAGCTCCGCCACCAGCAGGGTCTCTCGCACGCTGTGCCCCAGTGTTCTCCGCCCACAAATGGTAACTTCACAGCTCATTTCAGAGCAGTTTTAAAGGGGCCCGAAAAGCAGGTTGGCTGGGGTGTCCTGGGGCATTAACTCCTCAAGAGTTTAAAGCAGAGAGAAATGGATGAGCAATGAACACCCAGTTGTCCTTCTGGTAGTAATTACCTGCCTAATTTGAATGATGCTTTTGTTATGATCATTAACAAACATTTGCTAAAGGTTTCCATCTGTGACATTCCCTAAGGTTTAAAGGCCTGGGGAGCTGACTCCCAGCTAGCGCCCCAGTGGGGAGTGGCACAGACTAACAAATGGGTTAGGGGAAGATTTCTCGGAGTCTGGACCCAGGAAAGGAAGAGATCCTCATCTATTACCTCTCCTGCAAAAGCAAAATAAACGCAGGGGTCTGGAGCCACCTCGGAGCAGAAGGCCTGTGAACTCGGGAGGTTGGTTTCTTAAACCGGGTCCTGCCCCCGCCCCTCCCACAGCTCATAGGCGAGTTTGAATCGCGTTTTCCGCCCTCCACTCTCCGGGGCTGCTGGAGAGGTCGGGTCTGCGCCCGTCACTCAGTCCCGGACAACAGAGGGAGGGGGTGAGCCCAGCTCTTGCACTGTTGTTCTAAGATCCCTCCAGATTGCTCCCTCGACGCCCCGGGTCCTGGGTGGTCCCAGAGGCTCAGTGGGCAAAAGCCACTGCCTGGTCAGGAGGGCTGCGAGGTCGTTTCTCCTCTTCCTGAGCTTCTGTCCCGGATGCGGTGCAGGGACCAGGCCACTCTGTGACTTTTCAAGAGTGCCCTTCGCCTGCTTGGGCTGCAGGAACAGAACTCAAAGCTGCACTCGGATTGTTTCCAACCTCTTAGGCCTTTTTCCTTGGAGTTAAGAATGGGGATTTTCTCACAAAACCTGGAATCCAGGCAGCTGAGACCCAAGAAAAAGGCGGCCCAGCAAGGGATGGGAAGGGCCGACTTTCCCGGACTGGCCTTATGCCTCAAGGCCTGAAGAAGACAAGAAATTAGATGCTAGGAGGTGCAGTAAATGACTTAACGTTCAAGAGAGGATCCCGTGAGCTGTTGACAACCACATCAAAATGGTCACTGAAGAAAGCCAAATCCTGCCCAGCCCCGCATCCCAGAGTGAAAGTGCCCGGCAGTTCTGGAGCTGGTGCACCTCTGGTTTTTGTGGGTGCGTCCCGCGACAGCACAGCATGCCAGGTCTTTTCCAACGCTCCCAGGCTCCGCCCCCCAGCACTACCTTCCTTCTTGAAGAATTCTGAAGGTCCTTCGGATGAAGATCTAACAGTTACCAAATTCGCCAGCTGTTAAATCACATTTAAACAAACTCGTGAATGAATACCTTTCAAATAAAGCGAAAGGCCCCAACACATGCAGTGGGTGTTTCTGGCTTCTTGGTTTGAAAATAAAGGGCCATTTGGTTTTGGCAAAAGAAAATGCTTCTGCCTGCCCCTTCTCCCAGCTCCTTTAACTCCTGACTGAGTCTGGAGGAGGTGCCTCCTTGGGCCTGGAAGGACTGGAGCTGGCTCAAGACGTGGGGAACAGAGGTCTAGTCCCTGAGGGGAAAGAGAGCAGGGCTCCATCCCAACCCGAAGATGCCACCACAGAGAGGAAGGAAGCCCAATCTTGGGAAAGAAAGGGGGCCTATGTAACTTGGACTGGCTCTTGCCCCCTCTGCAGGACTCTGCCGACCTCCTCTTCGGTGTCTCTGAGTTTCTAGGGTTCTCTCCCTAGAGCAGCAGGAAAGCAGTTCCCTATGTCCCAGGCGGGACACTCTCTCTAGGGTTCCTAATACAATCACCTGGGTCTGGCTCTAATTGAGGACCACAGCTTGTCCTGTAGGACAGCCCAGCCGAAGTCCCATACACCCCTCTGAGCCCTGGACAGATATAGCAGGACTGGACCTTTCAGAATCTGGCCTTCTGACGCCCTTTCCCTCTTTCTATGGATAGAGCTGCCCTACCTACCCTCTCCCTCTTCTTAGGCCTTCAGTTTTAGTTACTTTTAATTTGAAAAGCCATGTGTGAGGTGGGGGAGGGAAGGAGGCAATTGGGAGGTCTGCTCTTCATTAGGGGCCTCAGTCATCCAGCTTTCCAGCACACAGCTGTGGCTTGGGAAGAGGAGGGCTGGCTTCGCTTAGGTCAGCCTCACTGAAGAGAGAGCCTTGTCCTCTTCAAGTCCCAGGAGTGCAGCAGAGCCCTGTGAGGTGGTTGGTTTTCTTGCTCCCCTGAGCCCTTCGAAGACAGACATTGTGAAGTGCAAAGCCAGCAGAACCTATGCTCTTTGCTCACCCATTAAATGGGATAACCTCACAGAACCCACAGGACTGTCTCAGAGAAGAAAAAATATCCAAAATAAACAATGTGGCTTATATTCAAATTTATGTACTATAAATCAGTACAATAGATTCTTACCAAGCCACAAGACACCCAAAGGCGTGTGTCAAGTAGGAAGGATACAGCCCTACTTTCTTGCTAGGGCTAAAGAAACAGTAGAGCAAACAAAGTTGCAATGCATAGTGTAAGCAATGCTGGAGCCAGCTTAATACCCCAGTACTGTGAGGGAGAGTGAGGTTCCAGGCTTAGGCCACTGCTGGTACCTCTGGCTCAGTTGGGGGTGGGGCAGCCAGGAACAAATTTGG